AATAAATAAATAAATAAATAAATAAATAAATAAATAAACAAATAAATAAAAGAGAAGGTTGAAAATGTTTAGGGAGGCTGGGGCCTACAGGATCACCTCCTCCCTCTCTCCCAGCTGAGATTGGAGCTGCCTGCTTTGCAGAGCTCTGCCCCTCCATCATTTTCTGTTCCTCCTTGTTGTCTTCTATCAGAATCATGGACTCATATAACTTCAGAGCCAGAAAACTCCCAAAAGATTGCATTCTGATAAAAGAGGAAACTGAGGTCTAGAGAAAAGTTAACTCTTGAGTTAATGGACAAACGGTGTGAGACAGGTAACTCACACAAGCCTTAGAGAAGGCAAATTTGAATCCAAACTAGAAGGAATCTGGAATACATGGAGTGGCCATTTCTCTACCCATAACTGCCATTTTTATTCAGAGATGAGAAGGCATAGAAGTCCAGAGAACTTGTGATAAACTACTGCCTGTATTGACATCAAGAGAGTATAGAAGTCAAGTATCCTAAGGGCCAACATTCTCTCTCTCTCTCTCTCTCTCTCTCTCTCTCTCTCTCTCTCTCCACATAACTCTGGTTATACTATTTAAAAGCCAAAAAGATTCACAACTCTGGCATATCCCAAAGGAAACAGGAGGAAGCTGCCTCTTAGTGCTGGGAATGTTGAATGCTGAGTGGTGGACCCTAGAGAGCTATTAACGAACCATGGAGTTAGATTTATATTAGAGAGGTGGTAATAGAAACCAGAAACACACTGTTAACATCATCCCAGTCTGTTCTTTCACTTCTCTCATCTGCTCTTATCCTTTTCATTACTCCTTAACTAAGCTAGCCTACAGCCCAGCACTTCTCTAATTTATTTTTCTGAGCACATGTTTCCTGTTGGGGCACACAAATCTGGCAATAATTTAGTAACCTATGAAAGCGATTGTGCAGTATTTCTTCAACCTCAGCTCCATGAGGTCTTCTGTATATCTTATAGTAATTCTCTCCATTTGTGTGTGTGTGGGTGTGTGTGTGTGTGTGTGTGTGTGTGTTCTTGTGAGTGTGTGTGTTTGCTGTGCTTCACATGGTCATTCTTGGTCATGAATGATTCAAGTTATATGAAGTTATATGAAGTTAATCAGCCACAACTTGCTATAACTGACATAAAAGTATCAAGAAAAGAAAATGTCTTTGATGTATTTTTGACTTTGTAGTTCAACTCCAGGCTTTCTATGCATGTCCTGTGTTGCAAGAAGTTTGGTTCTGCCAATTGGAGGAGACTGTGTTTTATTCATTTTTGTTTGACATTAAAATTTCTGTAATATTCAGGATTACCCTCATTATAATTCCAATTGCATTTTTCTCTTCACCATTGTCACCCCTTTTTTCATTCACCTCATTACATACAAAGGCAAATACTCCCTAGAAGAGTGGAGGAAGGTAAGAAAAAGAGAGAATCTGATTAAAACTGTGTACTGAAAATGTGTCCTCCCACCCACCTCCACTGATACAGCACTGGAGGCTGTTTTCATGTGGTGGATCACTGCACAGTGTCACACTGAGGTGCACAGGCTGAGCTTGAAGTTAGCGCCTTTGATTTGGGAGTCAGGAGCTCTGCACTTTATGCAAGTTGTTCATGGGATAATAAAGGAATTCTGGCCATGGAAGAGCTAGAAATAGACCTGATCACTCTGCTTCAGGCTGAATTTGGTGCCTACTCAGTAGTGTGGGTGGGTAGGTAGTTGAATACTATAATCTGCTGAGGACCACAGGCCCAGAAAGCTGCTTGTTTATGCTAGGTTTGAAGTTGCCATTTCAATTTTCTCTCTCTTCTAATCTCATAGTTGTGCCCTTTGGGCAACATTTTGAATTCCCCTGGTCCTTAATATTTTTTTTTCTTTTTGTTGAGTTGTTTTGTGAATTAAAAGTAATATATTGGAAATATTGGTTGCTATAAGCTCTCTCAGCATGGCTGTTTTCTATGGTTATGATTGTGTTAATTAATTTGAATTCACTTCTTTTGAATGAATGAAGTCTGAGCAACACTTTAAGAGGTCTGATGGTTATACTTGCATGTAAGGACAATGTAACTGACCTGATATTGCTTGTCAGGACATTCTTCCTAGGTCTTATCAGGACAGTTTGTCTGAAATATATCATTTTAGATATAAAATCTTGTTTCACATCAGAACTCTAGATCATGGCATTTTACTAAAAGTTTAGAAAAAAAAATTTGAGCAACAAAATGTTCAATGTTATTACTATACCTATCATTTTGTGTACTTTTGAGCCAAAAGTTGCATAAGGTAATGTATTTTAAGTGTATTTTAGCTATCTATACTACTGACTGGACCTTTGAGTATGCAAAATAAAGACATATATATGTATATATATGCAAATATATAATTTAAATTAGATGATATATAACATTATTAATGTTTTTAAGGGCCTAACTCCCACTGTTCAGAGTCACTGTCTTCATAGTCTTAAGTCTACCGTTAACTGCACAGTGTCTTTAATGTGTGATAGATTACAGGCTCCATCTGTGTAAGGGACCATGAAATTTTACTAGAGATATTTAAATCTTACTGTTTGAATCTGAAAATCTGACATCAATTTGCCAGTGGTTTTCCTAAGCACTATCTTGATCATGGTTTGTGATTTCCTTCTTTGTAGCAGTAGTTTGTTCTCTATCCATTTCTCAGTGTAGGCCCTGAGAACTTTCCTCCATGTAACAAAAGAAAGGAAATGTTGCTCTTTAGTTACTATGTTATCTTGTCTGCATGTAGAATAATCTAGTCAGGATGTAGGATTGCTTACTGAATTCTGATTACTAATTTTTGACTGAAAATCATTTAAAATCTGGGACAAATTTAGAGAAGCTCCTTAAGTTTGGCCATTTCACTTACCTTCAGAAGAAATGGAGAACTTACATGGAAATTTTCACCACTTGGTATGTTTTACTTTTTTGTGTGTTTTCTAGAAATGACAAAAAAATTGGGTAGAACTTGGATCCTAGCATTCAAACTCACATAGTTAGCTTTTCACTGGGCCATATGTGTTATGTGCCCATTTAACCTCTTGGAACCTATTTGCTCGTCTATAAAATAGAAATAATGATAACTGTGTGAAGTTGGCTGCCAGTAGGATGAAATCAGGTGTTCTATGTCATGCACAGTATGTATTCAATAACTACACATTTAACTTGATCAGCTCTACTTTATGCTCAGGTAATGTGTGCATTGCAAACAAAAACAGATAAGATCTTTACTGAGGGGGGAAGTTCTTAATCATAATTCTCTCTGACTGATGTAGACAAGATTAAGTATGAAATATCACCTACCAGGTTATCCAGCTTTTTAAACATACTTGGAAGTATCTTATTGAACTATCTTTCATCGAAGTTTGGGAATCAACTCTATGAATTGTGAAAAATATGCACAGTGTCCACATAAACTCTGGATTGATTGTCAAGTTCTTTGTAACAGACACTCAAAATTATTGATTAGTAAGTGATGTCTTAGAAGACTGTGGGAGGGATCAAGATTCTGCCATATCTTTGTTTTCTTCAAAATTATTTCTCTCAAGGAATGTAAATTTTACAGTCAAAATTCAGTTTGGTGGGTGAAATAGTGTTAGTGACACTCTCTAAGGACGGAGACTTTATTTTACTCTCTGATATGTCAGCATCTCAGGGGAGTACCTGCATCCAATAAATAATCTTTGAATGACTGATGGAATTTCATTTAATAAACATTCCTTCCAAAGGACTCAAATATGTGTGCAGGTACCCATACATAAGGAAGTTTGCCCTCAGCAATCTACAAAACTTAATGAAAAATAATCATGAATACACTGACTCTACACAGGCAGACACACACACACACACACACACACACACACACACACACACACAAAATGTGCCCCACTGAGTGGCCACCTTATGTTCAAAATGCTGTTGTCTGAAAGTTATATGATGTAGTACATTCTTATTTTCAGTATTGTCGTTAATGGCACAACTCATTTCAGCTCTCTAGGACTTACCATCTCTTCAGTTCAACAAAGTCTAAGACTAAGGTGACTTCAAGCACTGAGATCCTAGTATTCTGAGTTCATAACTGATTACCTAGGAATTCAAGACTCCTGGTAATTAGGAATATATAACACCTA